ATATGTAATTTATTTGACATGTCTATCATTTTTTAATGATGTACTTAGCCGAAGATTTGCGAGAGAAAGTGAAATGATAGTAAAGAGTGCAAGTTAATCGGATTCTTCAGAAAAAGCAAGGTAACTCTTTGCTCAAGTGAACCATAGAAAATTCTATCCAAAGTCAATGCATAATAGTTTGCAACAAGAAGGAATATAAAGTTTCTTTCTTCTGAAATGTAACCGTCAGCATCGAAAAAGTAGATTCAAACCTTGCCGACGAACACGAATAAATTAAGAAAGTGCTTTTGGACCATGTTATATACAATACGCTGTATCGTTCATTACCACTTAACGTTGATGAGTTGTGGCATTCTCAATAGAATTCTTTTAGTAAAACTTCTTGATTTCTGAAGTAGAGACCGATGGAAATCGATTGATCCACCGTTGAAAAGCGCTTCTGTGCTGTTTCTGCTATATAGTTCATGCCTTAGCAGGCACTCTTCAGAAAACTGCAATCAATTCAGGTTTGGTAGGTCACTTCTGAAACATTGCCTCTTTTATGAAAAAAATCTTGTTAATCATAGAATTCAATAAAAAATGTCAACTATTAGAAGACCGAAATTTTTCACATACGCAGCATTCTACATAAACATTATTTCTAAAAAAAGTTACATGATCTGGTTGTTGACTAAATAGAAGAGACGCATTCTTTTGTGGAGAAGAACACTTTATTTTTCACATACGGTGGTGGATTTTTGTAAGAAAAAAATAATTGTTCTTTCCTTTCGCAAGCATTGATATAATTTCATCATACGTATGACTCAGTTTATTTCGCCACACCGACAAAGTACTGTCGTTGAGAAAAGATAGTAACTTAGTTTAGTGTATGATAAATAATAACAGATAGCAGTTTATTGTGAAACGCAGTTTATAAGGTAATTAGCATCTGCTTTGAATTATTCATTCTGTTGAACAATGCTGGAGCTAGGGTTTTCTAGACGTCGGATCATTCTTCATAGAGCTAAAAATGTGATAGACGTAGATAGTCGAATCGTTTTATGTTTGGAACAAACGTTTTTCTTATGTCATATGGAAGAATACGCACATACTGCTTTTGTCTGAATTTGTATCTCACTTTGTTCGTATGTCATCTCTTTTTCAAACTAAATCTTATATAAGAAGGTAAAGGTTTGAGTCGAACATTTAAAAAGTATTTTGTATAAGGCAGTCTCCATCTCCTTCTGAGAAGTTTAATAATAGTAATCTATAATTTAAAGTCAGTTTTATCGAAGGAAATTGGACCGTTTGTTGTTGCAGATTATTTAGTAGTTTTTAGAAATTGAGGGTATTGCTCGTCAGTAGTAAAATGAAATAATAAACTGCTATCGGATTTTTTCTTGTACTTTCGTGTACTTTTAAAGTACAAGAATGTGTATGCTCGTTAACGAAAAGGTAGATATAAAATCATGAATTCGGAATATATTAAAGGTCTTTTTTGCCTTTTTTTTAATTTTATATTGAATGAATCTGTACATGATAGAATCTAAATTGAATAATTGTTACGATAATATGTCTATCTGAGTGCGAGTAAGGAATAAAAATAAATGCATAAAAAGGTAAATGAAGAAAAGTAATAGAAAACTAAGATTTAAAAGTATGAGTAAATAGTTCTGAGGATGACGTAACACAACAGTAATCCAAAAGTTGCATTTTTTTCCCTGAATGTCTTATTAGCGCAACGTTCTTCCGTACACATTTGTTTATCGTAAGAGGAAAAATGCAAAATATTGAAGAGAAAACAAGAAGCTTCTCATCCGTATTTCGATTTCTGAATTAGCAAAAACGTAATAAAAGTTTTCGAAAAAGATCGAAAGGATCGAAGAATTTTAATATCGAAATTGAGTGTATTTTGCTATGATTAACCTAACAAAAAGTTTACACAAGACGTTGATATTTCATGCCTTTGATCTTTCTTTTCTCCCCAAATAGAATTGCCGAATGTCAACATTGCGGTTTTTTTTTTTTTGTTTCTTTTAACCAATATCTGTAAAAGAAAATTTACTTCAGACGGGACGAGTATACTTTTGATAGAAAATAATTTTCATGATTTTGTTTTCGGAACTAAAAAATTTCATGTCAAGAATATGAACAAGACTTGAACAAAGGAAGGAAGTAATCGCGGAATTCGTTCGTTGTTTGTCCTCCATCAGGCATTCCTATTTTTAAACAATAACGATCATTATAATCTGACGCCTTTATTTTTTATTTTGTTCTTCTATACTCTTTCTTATTCTAGTCTATAGTGTTTCATCATCATTCATAAAGCGAGAAAAAGTCTCTTTTAGAATTTTGATAAAAAGATTTCTCATCATCTTTTTTTTTTTGCTACAGTATTAATTATCATAAGACGGTTAACTCAAAACAAGAATGATTAAGTAAAATCGACACCCGTATGTTATTATATTATATATAACACTTCGAAGTGCAGATTTGAGAATTCTAGAGCATAAAGTGTAAAAAGCAATAACAACAAGGCGAGTGCTTCTAATGTTTTAAAGAACAGAGTATCGAAATTAAGTGTTCTGTGTACCTCTCTTACACGAATATCATCACTAGAGTACGGTCGATCGTTGTCATATTTTGACGTTAACTTTGTTGTAATGGTGTTTAGAACAACATAATAGAATAGTATTGGCGAAGTACTAACGTAGCTTCAAACTATTCCATTAAGTTTATTAAAATTATGGAGTTAGGCTATTCAATAAATAAAAACTATCTCTATAGATCTGAATTTATCTTATGAATGAGTGTGTATGTTTTTTTCTTGTACGTCCATGCTAAAATCTTTCACAAAATGTTTAAATCAATCAGATGAAAAAATAACAGCAGCAAAGAAAAAAGAACAAAAATTTACTTCAAGGAAATTTTTTTTTAAAGATATTGCTGTTTTTTAATATCCTGTCGAACACTTCTAAGATCACTCAGTTTTGACCTCCTAATGCCTAGTATTTATTTTTCTCTTCGTTATTACTCATTGCTCGATTCACTTACTAGCACACAGAAAGACTGTTAGCCTGCCGATTATTTCATTTCTTCTTCTCTTCTGACAAATTTTGCAGATTCTTCAACGACGAGAGTGATGACGATGATGATACTCTATAAAAAAGAAAAACACGAAAAGGAAAAAAAAGAGAAAGAAAATAAATTTTAAACGACTTTTTTACTTTCATATTTGTGTGTCTCTCTCGTAGTTGAGCTACTTTATTGTTGTGAATTGTCGATGAAAAAAACGGCATTTTTATTCCGATATATAGAATCTGTAATGTGGTTGTAAGTTATTTTCTTTTTCTTTAAAAAACGGAAAGAAAATACGCCGAACTAGAGTATATAATTATAAAAATAATAATAATAACAGTAATAATAACAGAAAAGTAACATGTTTGTTCTTAGCAGAAGTGGAATGTAAGTTAGAAGAGTATTGCGCAGTTCTATGTATAGAGTTTTTATCGTTTTATTAAAATATAGCAGGATTTTCAGAGATGAGCAAATTCCCACACTTTCGAGTCTGAGCCGAGCTCGATTCAGAAAATTACTGGTCTGAGTCCGAATTACATTAAAAACTGACTCAAGTCATTTTTTAAAGGTAAAATTCTCACTGATTCATTTTTCATAAACAGCTTTCAACTGATGACGGTTGTTTAAAGCATTCGTTTTTACTCATTCTGTTGAGCAATTGCTACGCGTTATCTTTTTATTTGGAGGTTTTAACATAGTTTTAATCTCTTTCTCTATTCAAGTGTATTCTACATATAAGAAATGCTTCCATAATAATTTAAAATGTCATATGACTAACTTGAAAGTGACCTGAGTCAGTTTATCTTGTTCTTTGACTTGAGTCTGAGTCATGGAGAAATGCGACATGAGTGACTCAGACTGGTTCATCTCGGAGAACGTTCTCAGGAACACATGAAATTAAAAATACCCGAAGAAGAAAAGAGTTTTTATGCACTACTACACACAATTTATTATTCACTGTGAGAAATTCTCTTGTGTTCAATGCGTTGTAAAGTTGCATCCGTCTGATTTCGTCTACAAAAAATAGATTACTCATTTGATACATTTTTTAAATGAACAAATGAATATTATTGTGTGGTTCTCTATTAATCTTTTTTTTAAAAAAAATGAATTTTGTCAGATTTTAGTCATGTTTTACTAATTTTATATTTACGCAACAGATTGTTTTATAGAGTACAATTTTGCTTGATGTAAGTTTTACAATGTAATATAAGATGAATATTTTTCAAGAAATAAAGAACTTTTTTTGAAACTATATCTATCACGAACAATTGAAGAAGAAAGAGAAAAAAACATACTATTCAATGAATATAGCTGGTATGCGATCATATATCATACTCTCTTTTGTGTTCTTACTGATAAATAGATAAGGTAAAAAAAGTTCTTTTCTGTGGCACTTTAGAATAAGAAACAAAAAATAAATTAATGATAACACTAATGATAAGATCATTATTAAAGTAATTACGACAAGGCATCTTTATTTTTTACATATGTACAATGGAGACGTAATTTATGTTTTAGATGAGTAGTTCTTCTACGTCTGTCACCTTGACATCTATACGACACTTTATTATAATTATTTAACTAGACATGTGTCAAAAATACATACATATAGAGACATAACAAATTTATTGTATAAATACAATTGACTAACTAACGAACTAATTAAACACACTATAGAATTCATTGAAGTAATGTTAATAAATCTTGTTTCATTATGTTGTGTTTTTCTATGTCGGTTGATTCAGCCAGTGGTTGTTGTTTTCCTCTCTCTTGATGTTAGCCTCAGTAAAATATACAAAATTACACATCATACATTATTACCGTTTATGCGTGCATTTATTTTTAAGTCATTTAGTTTTAAATTTGAATGATAGAGAATATTTAAGTACACCAAGAATTTTTTCTTCTATTTATATTTTATAGTTGTAGATACATCAGAGATGGTTGTGAACGATACGATAAACAAATCATCGACTAATTGTCCATTATTACATCGATATTGTTCACCACAACATTTTGCATCGTCTCAACATCAATTCGGTACATTTGGTCAATCGACTTCCGTGTTGAATTTACCACAACAATCAACTATTCCACTACAAAAAACAATTTATCATTCGCAAAATTCATCAAAATGTGTATCACCAATACATTGTCCTCAACAACATCAACAAAAGGTACAAGGCGCAGTTGAATCTACGACAATGGCAACAGCAAAACGTTCATCTACCCCAATTGCACATAATCCACCATTTGAATGTGTATGGAATTGGATATTATTTTCACCAACGCACTATCCTGAATATTATAGTCCACAACAATGCAAAATTAATGATTCTTCTTCTACAATATATTCAAATACAGAAGAAAATGACTTGATATCATGGTTATTAGATAGTGATGAAGATCTGTCATCTTCTACTGATACTACCGATGCGGCGTCCGATGATGAATCATCAACGATAGATTCGGTTGTTCGTCAGCGATGCGCATCGCCAACAAGATCCGATTCAGATGATGGTTATATATCGTCATCTGATCAAGGATCAAATTCATTAATTTATTCGTCTTGTGAATTAATAAAAGATGAAGAAATACTCGTTGAAAAATTACCGAAAATTAATCCGAGTAGTAGTAGCAGTATTCAAGACACATCATTGCATGCACCTCTTAAAAAAGCGCCTTTGTCATATGCGGCAACCGTTAGTTCATCCAAACCAAATACGATTTTGAGTAAAATTCCTACATCACCTATTAAACCACCAATGGCAACAATAAACGATAGTCCGATACTGCGTTCACCGACATCAACAACATCGTTACAAAAACCAAAATTATTCTTTGTTGCACCTCGTTTTGAACGTTTATATCAACAAAAAGAACGGACAAATAATACGTCATCGTCTTCAACGAATAATAAAATTCGTACGCTTAATCAACAACCAACAACATTAACAACGACTTTACGTTCAAGCCGTCCACTAACAACAACCACAATAACAACAAAACGTCGTTCATAAACTTTTTATTATTATCACTACTACTACTACTAAAGACACTTCTATATTCATTGCCATGATGTTGAATGTTGTATTACTTTTATGTTGTTTGAAAACAAAAAGAAACTATGTTGAATGCTCTCACTTATTCAATGTTATTTGTTGTGTTTTTTTTTCTTCTGTCAATGAACTCTTTTCTTGTACCTTCAATGTAATGTATTCATGTCAACCTGTTTTTCCTCGTTCTTTTTTTTTTCTTATTTGCTGTTGTATTAGGAGTCAGTTATTATCCTTAAATGGTGATCATCTTTCTTTGTTTATTAACTACATATTGTTTCTTATCTAAATAATTTAGCATAAAGAAACAACGTTGAATTAAAATGATAATAGACATCGAACAAAAAACACGTACTCAGTTGTATAATGTCAACATTTATAGATATTGTGAAAACGTGATTTTTCAAGAAATAATCTCGTTTTCTTAAATGGCAGACTTTTGTTTTGCTCAAAGAAACAGCTAATTAATTCACCTATCCAATGTATTACTTTCAAAAAATGAGAATTGAAAATTCTCTTCTTTTGTCATTTGAATAATAAGTTATAGTTTTCGACACTTTACAAAAGTGTCACGAATAAACTTTGAAAATAAACCAAATTACTTTTTTTTAGGCAGTTGTAGACTGAAATTATTTTTTATTTTATTTCAGACTAAATATAATATTATTTTTAGATTTTTACTGTTAGTTAAAATACATTGAAAACTTATAATTATCGTCTATAGACTTTGTATACAGTACACTGTACAAACATTATATTTAAATATTATGGAAGAGAAAAAATTACCTATATTAGTTACTAAAATTATGATTTATCTATTTACTACCAATAGAACGAATAAAAAATTTGTGTTGTCTAAATAATAAAACCTTGATTAGGTACATTAAGAAAAAATAATTTTATTTATACTAAAAGAAAAATAAAGGTTTGATGTTCAAGCAAAGATTACAACATCATGCAGTCTAAAATTTCAGGGTAATTAACTATTCTATATTTTAACTATGACGTGATAGTCTATGTATAGTTATTCTAAACAATATTAATCAGTTACATATGATGTAAAAAATGTCCTTAATACAAAATATCAAATTGTTTATGGCCAAAATAATAATTACACTTTGCAGAATATAAACTTTTCTGTTTCATGTCACTAATAACACGTAACGATATGATTGTATTCATATCAACGTAAAGTGAGTAGCTTAAGGGTTTAAAATAATATAAACGAAGACGATGATCCCTTAGAGATATTTTGATCAAATATAAAAGCTTGTCAGCGTAGACTCGAAGATTCAACAGGTGAAACTTTGATGTAACATCATTAAAATGTAATGAATATATCGCTATGAATAAAAGATAAACGATTAATTTTGTTATAATTACGTTCTATATTAATGATCATCTAACGGTCAAGAGATGCCGTTACTACAAATTTCATCTATTTTTTGGGGCAGTTTTATCTTGCCTTAAATACATTGTAAAAGAATTGTAATCAATAATTATCCATTCAAAATAAAACTGAGCGATATGGACTACACTTAGACTATATTAGTGATTTGAATAAATGCAGAAGTTTAAATCACTAATGTAGTCTAAGTGTAGTCCAAGGGCATTTAGAACAATACAAGCTCAGTTTTATTTTGAATGGATAATTATTGATTCTAATTCTTTTACAATGTATTTAAGGCAAGATAAAACTGCCCAAAAAAATCATGAAAGAAAACGCTTCTCTTTTGTTGGCTGTTAGATCATAATGACTCTCAGAAAAAACTTTTCGTTCTGAGGAACAGAGACTTATAAGAATAAATCATGAGATATATTTACTTCTCAAAAGTCCGTCTACGTATGGTAAGATAGAAGTCAATTCAATTCACACCTTAAATGTAAACCTCTTTCTTTTAATATGATGTAATTATACTAAAATACATTAATAATAATGAATATCATTTTTTATTCTTTTGGTTATAGTATTTGAAATATGTATAGTTTATTCCTAGTTTGACATCTTTCATTATTATTTATTTTACATGTAAATAAAATTTTTATACTTGAGAGAAAAATATTTAAATTTTGATTGTAGAGAACCTAAAAAAAAAAATCACTTATGTATTTTACCTGAATAAAATTTAAATTAAAACAACAAAAATCAATCTAAATTCATTGATGTGCTGTTAGCAACAAAAAGAAAAGAATTTATGTTTTTTAACTAGTCTATTTATTGGAAATGCACTTAAACTATAAAGTTTTCAAAACATAATGACCACTCATTGTTCTCAGAATAAATCTTCAACTATACTCTCACTTATACAGTCACGATCAAATTTTTTTGTACAATTATTGTCTCTTTTTATTCACATTTTTTTATGTAAATAAAACATATTCTTTTTCTATGTACAAGTCATAAAAAAAATTAAATTAACAAATTAATCTATTTAGCAATGTAGAACTGATAAACATATGGTTTCGTCTATATATTTAACACATAAGAAAATAAGAAAAATGTCGTCAATAATCTCGTACATGTGGCACAAATTGATGTTACGATTTGTACATATTAACAACCAAAATTATGCATTATATAACCAATGAAATGTCATCATTATGATTGTGTAATAATAGCACACACTGCATGTTCACAACTCAACGTTAATTTATTTATAGAATATTTGATTAAAAGACGAAAAAAAAAGAAAAGCAAAGAAAAGAAATGGTTCGATTTATACTTCTTATAGTCCTCATTGATGATGATTTATGTATTTTTAACATAACTATCAGAAACTTTTTTACTAAATAAATTTTGTTTTATAAATGCTTTTTTTCCGTTACAAAAAACTGCAAGTCTTGGGAATTTGAACTGCTAGCAGTCAGACTATGGGGTTTACTATGCGCACAGTCCTCGAGACTGTCTTTTTGTAACTTTTCTCTCAATATAATTGAGAATACTATAGGCTAGAAGTCACCCAAATAATTCGGTGATTTGATCTTAAAAGAGGATCATCCGTCCTCTTACTAATCGTCGTCCTGACGCTTAAAACTAGAGAAAAGACAAATTCATTGTCACAATTCTCTGTGAGTTTCGATGACTGTGCACTTAGTAAAGGTCGTAGATCGATTGTTAGCAGGTCAAGTTTCCAAGACTTGTACTTTTCTATAACGAAAAAAGCGGTTATAAAACAAAATTTATTTAGTAGAAACAAGTCGAATTTAAATATCAAACCAGAAACTTTTTTTTATTATCTAACAATAAAAATACTAATATTAATTAGCGACAAACTTCTTTTCACGAAGTATCACTAGTAATTTTTTTCTCTATCCACCATTCTGGTGTTTTTACATCTTGAATATGACCGTTATTATCATTCCAATATTTACTTATCATAAATTGAACTTTATCCTCAATTGTTGGCAAAACATCATTTATATTAAATGAACCTATTCGAAATCTTGTTCGATTAACTTGTATATTTTGACCCGTTTTACGATCAACTGCTTGTATTTCATATAATTCTTTTTTCAAAAATGTTCCATAAACTATGTTTGACGGTGCATCTTTGTACATGTCAAAATTTTTTTCATCACGCATTAATTGTCTCAGTGTATAAGTATTTTTACCAAGAATATCTTTTTGTGAATAAAAACTTAATGCATAGGTTAATGTTGAATTTTTTAAACAATCATAACGATGTCGCCAATAGATGCTAGCCATTGCTAAAAATTCATTTGGTACATTAAATGCTCTTGCATCGAAATAAGCAGCACTCGATTTAATACGTTTATGAGTCTCTTCATTTTGTAAGTCAGACCAGTCCATTTGTTGCATATAATAATTGAATTTTGCCGCTGTATATGATGATATGACACTCACTAATTTTTGTAAACGTCCACTATACATATGTTCTGATTCAAACATTTTTGTTTTAACATCACCTCTTTCTTTATTGTCATTTGCATGACATGCGGCAAACAATAATGATATTTCATCAGAACAACAAAATACCGTACGAGGACTAAAACGTTGAAGTAAATCGGCAGATGTTAATGTAAGTGCTCTTGCTAAACGTTGATCGAATGGTTTATTTAATCCACGAGTATATGTTCGAAATGAAACACCGTCAACACGTACAACAAATGGTAAATTTGAGTTAATTTTTAATGGTTCATCTAGTACCTCTTCTAAACGTTTTATTTCACTAGCTATCAATTTTTCATTATTCAATATTTCAGTTTCAGAATGTAATGATGAAACAACTTCATTATCAGTAGCAACTACAGTATTTTTTATATCACCTTTTTCATCACAATTAACATCCGACATTTCTTTTTAAAATATCTAAAAATTGTTTGTAGAAACAACTTTACACAGAGCTTCATGATGTTTCCCAGAACCAGATTGTATTTCGATTTTTAAACTCAACGTTGTTTGTAATTGATAAATTTTTTACAGTTGTTTTTTATAAATAAAAAGCAGCTCTAACATTGAAAACCTGGACTGACTCTTACTATCTCGAGACCACCTTTTGCCCCGACTAAGTTGAAAATATAGACGCTTAACATCACCCAAATATTTAAATGAGTCGATTTTCAAAGATGTTGAGTCATTCTCTCACTATGGGCCGATGCAACTCTCAAAGGTTTGCGCTTTCCTGTACTTAGAACGTGGGTGTAGCGCAGTTCACAGTGCAAATTCTAAATATTTTATAAACTTGTGAAAAATCGATTATAAAATCGTTGAAGATTTGATAGGTTTTATAACATGGTCAAGAACTTTATAGGATAATGAAAACTATTTATTTTTGACTTTCTATAAAATCGACTTGATTTTATAAAGATTCTGGTTTCGTTCAAGATCGTTCAAGATTTTGTTGTTGCAGGATAACAAATCCTCCTTCGTTTTGGGAAAAACTAAAAAATCTATTTGATTTTTTAGCGAATTTAAAAATCAAATCGATTATATTTTTCAGAAATCGCACTGAGTTTTGCGTTTCTTAAAAAACAACGACGACGATGATTTTTGTTTTATCGTGTTAGGACTAATGAGAAAGTTGATCTTGAAAGAGGCATAAGGCACAACATTAATGGTTAATATTCCTCAATCGTTTTTAATTTCTCTTATCTCTTTTTCTCTCCTGTACAGAAAGTGAAACTCCTTTTACGAGTAGATAGCCCGTAACTGCTCTGTCTCCTGTAGGTCGTTTTCAATTTTATATTGTCTTAGCTAAATAAAACAATAAACAAACAAAACGAACCATTTTATAAAATCTATAAATATTTTCCATTTTCGATTTTTGAATAGTCTATATACTTAATCCTCCAGGATTTTATAGAATAAGAATCGTCGCCGATTTTTGACTTTCTATAAAACTGAATTATGAAATAAATGCCGATTTTCTAAAAAACTCCAAATCCCATTTTAGAGAATCTTAAAAATCGTCTCGATTTTAAATAAAATCAAACGTTCGTTTTTATAAGTTCCTGTAAAATCAATAATGATTTAAAGAAAGTTATCAAATTTGATTTCAGATATATTATAAAACTCTTGAGAATTAAGTGTACGGACTGTTCAAAAATCGTCATCTATTTTATATAAAATCAACACCATTTTATAGTGCATCCAACACTTACTTATTTTGTGTCTGTGTTTGATCCTAAAACTAAAACTTTAACATTTTCAAATCTTTAATCGAATGAGTATTTAAACTGTAGATGCTGCTTGTGTTCTCTCTCAAATGATAGATTTCGCAATGCAGTTAATACGTGACGCATAATAGTATGATGACTCATCCAACTATTTACAGATTGCGTATCCAATTATGCAATGTAACGAATTTCTTTGTGTTACACCATTAAGAGAAAATAGTTATTATATATAATAGGAGTTAGTAGAGTACTTTTTAAAATGAAGATCATTTTTAAATGCCATTTTAAAATTGTGACAACAAGAGTTCTCCCGCTTGGAGGCTTTACCTATTGATGTATGTCAACTGCTCCAGAAACAAATGTCGCGCATTTTTGAAGAATGCATAGGACTCTTCCTGGGACTATTCTCGTATCAGTAAATAAAAAAGGACAAGAAACATACTGGTCTTGTAATGAACTGGTGTCATGATTGATTTTAACCTAGTGGGCAGAGTATCTACTAACAGCATGCTTCATTTTAGTTGTATTAACATATCACAGAGTTCTTTTTTATTTGACTCGAAAGAAAGTCAAAATGAACTTTAAAGCGAGCATTTATTTCTATAAAACATTGCTGTGAGAAAACAGTGCAACTACAACGGTTATTCAACAGTTTTTCTTCCTAAATGGATATATGTTCATATGTTACAGACCAAATAAAAATCTTCAAATTTTAGTGTAGCATAAACTAACTTAAAATGCATGTGCGTGCACATGTTCGATTTCAAGATAGCCTAAGCCATTTCAAAATCTACTTTTAAAATATATATAATTGTCACTTGTTCTATCGTTTAAACTGGAAACTTATTACATCAATGTCAGCTGTGAAAACGACAAAATCCATTTGTCTTATTGATATTTGCAATAACACTGTTGATGGTTTAAATGTAGTCGAATCTCGCTAAAAGACTTAATCAGTTGTTCGTATTACTCAAAAAATGGAAATATCACAGTCAAATCCAATAACATTTTAATCGCGTAATTGTTTGATTTCGTTAAAACTGCTTTGGTTTCAAAAAAATTTCTATATCTAGTCCAATTTTGCAAACCTATCTAGTCTTAGGCTTTAGGCGATAGACTTCTTTCTTTTACTTTAGTCTGGGCACCATACTTGTGAGAAAAAAAGCTACATATCATAGAAGAAATTGTGACAGAAAATTTTGTTTCGTTGCCAAGAAATCCAGTTTTTTCGACAAAATTCGGCTCGTATCTATATAAAAAAATCTATCAATGCTATGTAGCTTTTTTTCTCACAAGTATGGTGCGTTGTATCTATATTCAAAGAGTAAATGTTTTCAATATTGGGCGTGCGAGTCATGGTTTACAAGCATTAATTGTTTCATATCTTTGTATGCAGATCCGTTACAATATTGAAGATGATACCATGTTTTTAAATACTATGTCATTTATATCCAATGTGATGTTTAAAGAAGATTATAAACCGGATGGAATATTATCACAAGCCGTTCTCGGATTATAATTAGTACAGATGGCTGTAACTGAATAGGCCAGCTTCTTTTTGTTTTCAGAATGATCATCATTGCTGTAGCTAAAAGACCAACGCTTTGCATGATTGTAACTAGTTACCAACAAACCCTATTCACAAAGCTATTCAGTAAATTAAGTGCTTATATTCTTACAAGTCAAAGCTGAGTGCTCATAAATCATGGTTTCTCCATTTCCGATAGAGTTTACCACGGAGAAAAAAGTCGCTTTTGAGATGTAGTGGTGCTGCTGTGCTCTTCAATCATGTGCTTAGCTTAATATGGATCTTTTAAGAAAAAATCTATATTTCTGATCCAAGAAGGGGGGCCTTACACAACTATTGTTTCTTGTGTAAACTACGTAAGTTCAGTAGTTCTCGGCTGAGATGATGTGAACAGCTTTTTCTTTCGATTGCAAGCGATCAAAATCAAATAATTTCGCTACTATCACATTTATCTATCAGTTACCAAGGGTAACTTTTCAATAACAAAAGATTGAAAAGAATTAAAGAGCTCGGGTTCATTTACATTGAAGCGTCTTTTCACAAAAAATAAGTACGTTTGAAAGTAGGATTTCTGAGAGCTTGGAAATCGAGCTAGAGCTAGTCAAAAATCAAAGTAAAAATATTTTGTGTTCTTGTTGAAATTTGAAGGATTGAAGAAAAAAATTGAAGCACAACTTCGATCATTGTATAGAATATAGGAAAGAACAGCGAAATTGATTTTTGCAGTTCGTCTGCAGAGATCAAGTAGTTCTTGTGGTCGTTCCTAGCTTCGTGCTAGGATTGATTTTGTATTTTGATAGTTTAAGCTTCATAATGATATAATGCGAATTTATATTCTCGATTTCGTTCTAGTTCAAAATTAAAACTTAAGCTAAAGAGTTTTTCAGAAAACTTTTGAACGATAGCCGTATGTGTCAGATCAAACTAAATACATCCTGAAAGAACAGGGGCGGATAAGGTCATTTTCTAGCCCTTAATATTTTTTGATGATAACCATCAGATTATAGATTATTCAAGATGCTGAACAAAATGGTTTACTCAGTTTTTCGAAATTCCAACTTTCAATTTTTTCGACCAGTCGATCCTCAGAAAAAATGAAAAACCTTTTTTCTCTGATTTTTAAAAAAAGACATGTAATCGATGCAATTTTTCGCGCTGATTCTGAATATCATATTGATGATGGCAAAAAGATTGATTTTCTTGGGGAAAAGTGAATTTTACTATTGGAAAATCATTTTCTATAACAATTAGAAAACAAATTACGGACTTGGTAAAAATGAATTTTCCACTCAAACGAATTGTCAGTTGTATTCAAAACAAGCTTCTTTGTCTACTGGAGAGCGGAATTTTTTAGCATTTTGGAAAAAACGTTGTCCGAGCCGTTTTTGAACTCAGAAAACTCAACGCTATGAAAAAAATAGTTTGATCACAGCAGAAAGATAGCCCAATTCATTTCCTTGAAAATGAGACGTTGTCGAGAGTTTTAGCTTGTTTTGTTTCCGAGATACAGCAATTTTAAACTATACAGTATTTTGTACCTATTTTCCCTTTCCCATAGGGCAGAAAGCACGAAAAACTAAAATCGCTACATCACATTGGATATAAATGACATAGTATTTAAAAACATGGTATCATCTTCAATATTGTAACGAATCTGCATACAAAGATATGAAACAATTAATGCTTGTAAACCATGACTCGCACGCCCAATATTGAAAACATTTACTCTTTGAATATAGGTGCAACGCAAGAAAAGAACCAGTTAACCCTTAATAAAAGTTTTAATATACTAAAATTGGAATAATCGAAGAAAAACTACCTAACGTAATATTTATACATCGCAATCTCATGATAACAGTGATGTTACATCACCGAAGAATACAGTACTGGAAAAAATTATAGAGCCATCTTTCTTTTTCTTTTATTGTTTGACTCAATATTTGGCTGCTGTTCCTCCCATGAAATAATTTTGATATCCTAACGCAGGTTAGCACTCGTTAAAAATATCTTTTTTACCAAAATTACGTTTAAATGGGTTAAATTTTCAAAAATCACGCGTACTGACGCTTCTTTCGAGTGGTGACGTGTGAGAACTCGTTGAATATGATTCTGAAAGATCTAACGAGTTTTCACGCGTTCAAGTTGAACGAGTTCAAGTGCGTTAAGATCTTGTTGATGCGTATGAATGAGTTTAATACGAAAAAGTTACTTATAATGAGTTTGAACCAGTGTGGGTATCGAATGCGCTCTAACTGCTCTTAAATAGTGATGCAACCAAAATCGATTACAATTAGAACCATCAGATTTAACAAATTTGACATTGAATTGTTACGTGTTATGTATAGGCATGCACCAATACCAAGCATTATTGAAGATATTGTACAATATTACTGGATACCCAATATATTGTATTGGTATATTCAATTGACGCGTTCAATTTCCGAATATGAAACATTTAACGCGTTAATGCGCTTAACTGTCTCGTTATAATTTCAAACCTTTCCTGATTAACTAGTTTTAACCCAGCTTTTACTATTTTTGTAATGAAATCGTGTTTTAACGAGATAGTGTTAGTTTTGAGACATTTTCGGTCGCATACAAGTTCGAAAGATGACACGTTTGCACGCTTTCCAGGACATCCAAATTGTGAGCACGCGTTAAGCTATTAGTTCTTTTAACGCGTGCTAACCTGCGTTTGGGTATCAAAATTATTTCATGGGCTCCTTTCACACGAATACACGATTGTAGACGTCGCGGCATACTTTCGACTAATTTATTACACTTTCAGGCTTAATTTCTGACCACAATCTTTTTATGATAGCTACTTTTTAGACCCAAAAAACTCTCCCAAAAACCGTGAGTTTTTCATTTTGAAACGACCACGAACACTTTTTAGTTTTTTGGCCTAAAAAGCCCGTTAAAAAACTCTTTTGGTGTTTTTTGATCAGTTTTTTAGTCCAAAAAACTCTTTTATTGTAGTTTATTAATCTACGACTTTTTTTAGAGTGTATTGACAAGCAATTTCAAAGATGTTTTCTCGATGGTTACAGATGAATTTGTCCCGCTAAGATCCATCGTAATCGCCATTCCTTTACAGAGACAACCTATAACAAGTAGAATTTCTATTATCGACCTGTTACACGAATCTGTCAAAACTGTTCAAATAGAACTACGTCATCCTATACAAACATAGGCCGCCACAGTATTTTATTTACTTGGTTGAAACGAAGAATAAGACTGCAGTAATATACACTACGTATGACCCTGAAAATTTGACTGCATACGCTTAAATTACGCTGAGACAATTCAGACAACAGAATATATACAAGTATAGATTAACTTTTTGACTCCAGTGGAAGTGCCATAATACAAGCTATATAATGAAAATGACTATTATACACACTTCATGGAAAAATAATGTCTTGTCCTTTGCCACTTTATTGCACTATATAGTACGATATTTCGATCCTTCACAATGTTCCACACTACTCTGCTATTTCCTCATTTATGTCGCTTCTACTTTTTACAGTGTATGCAGGTGATGAATACCTAGAACTATCACTACCAACATGATTATTACAACATGTACTAACATGCTATTCATATACCCTCTACGATTGAAAGACGACACTTGGCTTAAGTGGAAATATTACTGATGATAAGACAAAGAACACAGGAAGAAGCGACTCAGTGATCATGCAATGGATGAACACCTGCAACGACGATCATGACGCTATTTGTATATTCTCTACATCTGAAAGGACGCCAGATGAAATTTCACTTGCGTGAAAATATTATAGATCTCACACGATGCAGCACTCGGGAAAAGGTAATTCAACGATCATGCAGCTAATGAATACTAGAAACCTTCAGTATAACGATATTTTTCATCTAGTCTCTAACTGTGAAAGGACGCCAGATGACATTTGACTTCAGTGAAAATATTGCTGATGACAAGACGAAGAACTCAGGAAGAAGCGACTCAATGATCACGCAGGTAATGAATACCTGAAATAAACATGATACTATTCATATATACTCTACACGAGAAAGAATGCTAGATAACATTTAACTTTTGCGGAAATATTGCTGATGTCACGACGAAGCACTCAGAAAGAAGCGGCTCAAAGCACACCTACCTAATGAATACTTGGAACGAAGACGCTATTCCAATATCGCCTACATGTGAAAGGATCCTAGGTGACACCTGACTTGAGTGAAAATATTGCTGATATCACGACGAAGAACTCAGAAAGAAGCGGCTCAAAGCACACCTACCTAATGAATACTTGGAACGATAACGCTATTCATTTATTCATCACGTGTGAAAAGACACTACATAACATTTGGCTTGAGTGGAAATATTGCTGATGTCACGACGAAGAACTAGAGAGACGTGATTCAATGATCATGCAGTCAATGAATACTTGAAATAAACATGATAGTATTCATACGTTCTCCACATGTGAAAGTACGCCAGTTGACATTAGACTTCAGTTCAAATATCCGTGCTGTCATGACGAAGAATTCAGGAAGAATTGACTCAATAATGATGCAGCTGTTGAATACTTAGAACTTTCATGACGTCATTCATATATTCTTTAATCTGAAGGCACACCAGTTATCATTTGACTTCAGTAGAAATATTGCTGATGTCACGATCAAGAACTCAGCAAGAAAAGACTCAGTGATGACGCACCTAATGAATACTTGAAATCATGACGCTCGTCATACATTCTCTCCATGTGAAAGAACGCCAGATGACAGTTGACTTGTGGAAATACTGCTGATGTCACGACGAAAAACTCAGGAAGAAGTCGCTCAATGATCGTGCAACTGATGATTGCGAGCGAAGAGCATCATCATGACACTATGCATATATTCTCCGCATGTGAAAGGACGCCAGATGAGTGTTGACTTGAGCGGAAATATGGCTGATGACAGGATGAAGAACTAGGGGAGACGTGGTTCAATGATCATGCAACTAATGAACACTCGGAACGATGACGCTAGCCATATATTCTCTTCATGTGAAAGAACGCCAGATGACAGATGGCTTGAGTGGGAATGTTGCTGATGTCCCGACGAAGAACTTAGGAAGAAGCCACTGAATGTATGTGCAACTGATGATTGCGATAGAAGAAGATGTGAGAGGACGTTGGATGATATTTGACTTGGCTGGAGTATGGCTGATGCCATGACGGCGAACTGGACAAGATGTGATTCAATGATCATGCAGCTGATGAATACTTTAGATAAATAAAACGATGACGGTATTCATTTATTCGGTACGTGTGAAAGGACGCTAGATGGCATCTGACTCTACTGAAAATATTGCTAATGGCACGACAGAGAACTCGGGAGAAAGCGATTCAATGATCATGCGGCTAATGAATACTTGAAATAAACATGATACTAGTCATATATTCCTTAATATGTGTAAGTACGCCAGTTGACATTTGCCTTGAGTGGAACTATTGGTGAGGTCACGACAAAGAGCGCAGGTAATGACGATTCAATGTTGACACAACTAATGAATACTTGGAACGATGAGGTTGTTCGTATATTTTGTACATCTGAAAGTATGCCAGATGGCATTGGGCTTGCGTGGAAATATGGTTTATTGTCACGACGAAGAACTCAGAAAGAAGCGGCTCAATGATCACGCAGCTGATGAATACTTGAAATCATGACGCTATTCATATATTCTCTACATGTGAAAGGGTGGCAGATGGTATTTGGTTTGATTGGAAATATTGCTGATGTCACGACGAAGAACTCAGGAAGAAGCGACTCAGTGATGACGCGGCTAATGAATACTTGAAATTAAGAAGAACGTACTGTTCCTAGAGTCGGTACATGTGAAAGTACGCCAGATGACACTTGACTTGAGTGGAACTATGGCTTTTGTCACGGCAAAGAACTGCGAACGAAACGGGCTCAATGATGACGCAGCTGATGAATACTGGGAACGAGAACGATACTATTCATATAGTCTCTACCTGTGAAAGGACGCCAGATAACATGTGACATGAGTGCAACTATTGCTTATGCCATGACGAGGAAGTGAGGAATAGGCGACTCAATGATGACGCAGCTGATTAATACTATGAACCATGAAGCCATTCATATATTCTGTATATGTGAAAGGACGCCGGATGGCATTCGTCTTGAGTGGAAATATTGCTGATATCATGAGGAAGAGTCCGGGCACATGGTATCGGTTGATCGTGCAAGAAATGAGCAATCGGTACATGTTTTTAGGTAGATGTTAGTTTTTTCGGTTTGACTGTCATATACGACATCTCTGATTTTGAATGAGGTTCCTGGAGGAAGTAAGACTTCTTCTTCGTGTGGATAATCTGAGCATACTGATAGTTCTATGCCTCCGAAGTTTTTGGCGTCAATAATGAATAGGGTATTTCCAAATCGTTCAGCTTCCTGACGGCTTTTACTTGTTGAAGTAAATGCATCCCAGGATCCGTATTGCCCAATTGATGCCTGATAAGATGCGATATTTTCTGAGAGCATGTGTGCGCCTCGATAGACTTTGGCTTTATAGTGCTGAGTATTTTGTAGCCAAGCTTCTAATAAAAGACTGCAGAATGGAGCGAGAGTATCTGCTTTGGTCGTATCATTTTCTCTCATTGTTTTGTTCACTAGTTTGTATAAGAAAGATTCTTTTGTGTATAGCCTAATACAACACTTGTAAATTTCTTTTGGCTCCTCATTTTGCACGGTTTTCAATTGTCGGGCAATCCATTCTGATTCGGAATGTTGGCCTAGTCGCTTTCCTTCGATAATTATTCCGTTCGCTGCTTGGTCCACTATTTCGGCTCCAGGAAGCTGTTTAGCTTTCTCTTTCCACTGTTTAATGAAATTTATGGCCGTTGTACCAAAATCGTCGCTAAACGTCTTATTCAGTTGTTGTGGAAGAAAAAATCTTTCTTCTCTTAAGCCTCTGTTTTCATGTATATTAATCAAAACTCGCTTTATTGACCGCTGTTTATCTGGATCATGTTTACTGATTTGAATGGAACCGTTTAGATCGATCCAATAATTGTCCAATTCAGCCAGTTTTGTTTCACTTTTTTCATTAAAGACGTCTTCAATAATTTCTGATTCGATATCAGTATACTTTGTCCATTCCTCTTTTTCATTCACCGACCATGGATCGAAATTCGATTTCCAATACCATTGAGCTTGTAGTCGATCAACTTGTTTGTTCGCTTGACTTGCCATTGATTAGAGCGTTTCTAACTGATCGTTATTAGATATGTTTATCGAACTAAAGAAGACATCGAAAAGTAACGAGAATCTTATGAAATTGAAGGTGTTCTAGGTTTAATAATATCTGAATGATTACGTTTACATTTTATTTCCAGTCCAAAGTCCGTCTAGGTTTCTTAATGTCAAAAGAAAACTTGATATTTTATTAGTTGATGAGACTTTTCAGTCTCATCTTTATTGTTTAATTAAAACAATATGCGTTATGGTGAAACATCGTGAAAGTCACATTAACGTGACTACATACGGGTACATTAAACTTTCCTTTTTTGAAATTTCATTGTGCGTGTTAATTCTTAGTTTATTGATGATAGAAGAAACTTTTTATTCCTTTTTGCACTATAAACCTTAAACGTCCCAGGCAAGCCTTTTTTGGAGTCAACGCTTGAAACGCGGTTGTTTGGGCGGGTAACGCGTTTGGACGCGTTTGTGTGCTAAAAACGCATCGAAACATGTTTAAACCATCCGTTTTCTCTAACGTGTTCTGACGAATGCGTTAAGATAAACTAGTTACCAACGCGCTAAGATGCGTTGATTACCAGCGTGTTTAGCAGAACCATTATTTGGTGATCCAACGGATTTGATTGTGTGAGAGATAATATTGGGAGATCGAAAATTAACTATGCTCAGTGATTTTAATAGAAACTTCAAGCAAAGTGCCCTAATGCACTTTGTTTTCAAACCAAAGTGTACTACAAGCGTAGAAAATGTTTTTTCAAAGTGTATTGCTTGAAAAACTTTCAAAAGCAAAGTGTATTTTCAGAAAACAAGGTGTGCGTACACTTTGCTTCCGCTTATACGCTTATCATTAAAAACACTGCCTCTGCTCACTAGGATCTATTCTTTCTTGCTTAGATTTTCTGTGAGAAACAGCCATTTAAATTGTTTTATCAGAAAAGACGAAGCAAAAATACTATTTGACTTTATAATCTTCTTTTGGAATAGAATGATCGAAACTGAACAAAAAGAATAAGAAAAAATAAAATAAAAGGGCAACCTGTATCAGCAGGTTTATTCACGCTCAGCGGCTAGACGAATGAGTCACATCTAGCGACTTTCATAATAAAATGCAACTAAGTATCCAAATTCATCTTTAAACAGAAGGATGAGGAACACAAATATGGACGTAACAGACCGACTATTTCATTTCTCTCAAATACATAGTTAGGTATGAGAAACGCCTTTTATCTGACTGATGTGAGACATGGCATTGTTACCGTATATGTTTCGGTCATCTTCTAGCTTAGATGGTTATATGTAAACGCGTTAGAAATTAACGCACATCAACGCGTTTTTTGCCAAAAAAGGTTTGCCTGGGATGACTTACAGGACAATGAGATAATAATTAACTCGTATAGCAGAGCTTGCTGTCTTACAATAGTGGAAGAAAGTTGCTAATATATTTCCCTCCTTTCTTTCCACGTTAAATATTCTTGTTGAAAGTGATCTAATCGACGCATAATAACAAGTGTCTGGTGCCCAGGATTAAATGGACCTCGTCTCATTTTCATTATAACTTGTTTTTATCAGGTTTCCCAATCTTAATTTTCTTTTCCAAAAATGCGCTTTGTGCTGCCCTACAAAAAACATACTGAATATATTTCTAAAAATCTAAAAAATTATTTTGCTTTACGATAAAAATAACCCGGCCTCAAATGTTCGATTCTGGCTGGGTTATAAAATTTTTCATAAAACGCTTTGTTGCAGCGGTACATGAAGCTTTGCAAAATTGCCGAATGCTGAGGCAACTAGACTCTGCAGGACAGCTCCGAACTCCATCCCGTCTGTCTCGTCCCATGGGACAGACAGACGGGATGGGGTCGAAACAAAAAAAATTTTACGGGCTTGGACTCATGCACTTGGGACAAACGGAAAAAATCACGTCCCTTATCAAAATCTAGCAGATGTATTATTTATCAGTTTAAATATACGGGGTAAACGGTCCGGGAAGCACGTGGTTCTCTTTTTCGGAACAAAATAATTTTCTCGTGGGATCGGGCTCAGGGCAACAGAAAAGTTTGCCCCTCAGGAGGCTAGAGGCAAATAGATAAACAACGAACAAGCATAGTGACCTGGTGTGGTACAATATGTAGCAAATAAAAGAAAGGTAGACAGCTATGCATATAAAAACTGAGCTATTTTCTTTTTGAAAATGTGAGAAAGAAAGCTAATTTGTTTGATGCATAAAATTTACATGATGAGTGTGAGCAGTGAAGGGTGGAGAAAAAACTTTCAGACGTTTTTGATGAGAATTCAGCGAAAAAAATTATTCTACGGACGAAAAATGCAAGTTTTTCTTTCCAGGGAGTTAAATAAGATGCAAAGAAAATTGACCGATGCATCTCCTCTCTAAATCCGCTTTACAACCTTCTTAAAAAAATTGTCTTCACTGCGTTTTACATTATAAAGAAGATTTTTTGTTTTACTACGCTTTCTAGGACATATCTACCCATGAAGGCCTAGGAGACGCCGTCAAAAATAAGTCTGCGCGTCGACATAGATCAATATCATTCTCTTTCCTTTTTCTTTCTCTGGTTTTGCTGAATGAAAGAAATCGGATACATTTCTATGTACAGAATAGAACAAATGTTCATTTTTTATTATCAGTTACACAATCTAACATAATTTAAATGGATCTATTAATAACGGGTGTCCCATAAATAATGGGACTTTTTTCTTTTCGCTATAACTCCGTCAGTTTTTATTCGATCGGATCAAATTTTTTTAAAAGATTCGCCATTCAATTTCCTACAAGAATATGTCAAAACTTTTGGTGTAAAACATAAAGAAGAAAAATTATATAAAGAATACCGAGAAGCTCCAATATGTTCACCTTTCTAAAGTGGTTTTTCTTGATTTTCCTGAACAGTTTTGCCTTTTTTTCTATTTCTTTCACAAATATGATAACACGACAGAGTAAGTTTTTCGAGTACAACAAAGTGCACTCTTTCGCTTAAGCTACAATGAAGTCCGTTTCAACCAAGTGTTATTAGGCAAACACTACTTTATTAAAACTGAGCCGAAATGACATAAACTTTTTTTATGCTTATTTTACGCATTACATCCGAATGAAAGACTATATTCAAACTCGAAAGTTTTAATCTAATGTACCATTCATTTCTCTTCAAATTAAGAGACAAGCCAAGCTGGAAAGATTAATTCTTGATCGACTCATGCAAATTTTCTGAGAACCTCAAAATCGCTAATTCAAAAACGTGATTTTTGCAAAATCTGAAAAAAGAAATAATTCACCTACGCAACAGGTATTGATACAAAAAATTTTCTAACATAGTTGAACGATAGAACTTTTGAAGCGCTACAAAATGGCTACTTGTTTCTTTTGTAGGTTCAAACGTTCAACGAATGGAGCCAAAAAGACTATTTTTTATCTAAGAAAGTTGGACACGTTGGAGCTTCTCAGTATTCTTTATATAATTTTTCTTCTTGATGTTTTGCACCAAAAGTTTTGACATATTTTTGTAGAGAATTGAATGGCGAATCTTTTAAAAAAAGTTTGGTCCGATCGGATAAAAACTGACGGAGTTATAGCCAAAACAAAAAAGCCCCGTTCTTTGTGGGGCACTCGTTTGTTGACTTAAAGTTTGCGCTACTCTATGTAACTTTTTGTCAAGACTTTACACCAAATCTTTTAAAAAAGCTATAGTTTTTTACGTAATTTCTGATTTTTTATTCATTTTAAGATGAGATTTTTTTAATATAAAACTACTGAAATATTTAGAATTATAGCATAAAACTGTATTAAACCATCCATGTACAAAACAATAAGCTTTCAATGCAAATATCTCAATCAAAATTTTTCACTCTGGTTGTTTACTGCGATCTTTTGAAAGCGTTTATTTTTTGTTTTTAAGGTTTTGGGATTGATGGAGAATAACAATGATAATGATTTATGGAAAAAGTTTCATCTGCAAAAATATCTGATGCGTCACAAGCCAAAATTGGTTACTGAGCGGGTATTTATTTTGGAGTTCTAAGGAAACCTAATAGTACGGTCAAATTACTAAAAATCAAGATCTCGTTTGACTTTCATTTTGAAGAATACCAAATCTAGGCTATCTAGGCTATCTAGTCACATTAGAAAAATCATTACATGACGACTTTAATTTTTGAAGAACTAGGCTGTTTTTCGAAAGATTCTCTCAGGAACATAATTTTGAAAGAAATTTTGGTTTATTTTTGCTAACAAAAAGACATTTTTAAGTCTCCACTTTCTGTTAGCAAAAACCGTCGATTTCTAACTCTTGATTGTTCAAAACTTATTCAGAAAAAAGAAAAAAACCGATGCCATTCTCTCTTGAAAAACTAAACAAAAGAAAAATTAAAAATATACACATGTTTTTCTATCTAAAGTTTCGACGATACTGTTTTTGTTGATTTTGTCGAATACTAGTTATATCTTTAGCTGCTGTATTCGTTGTTCCTGAGTATGAAGAATGTAAAGAGGACGGAAATAAAAAATGTTGTCGCTCATAAGTTATCGATTCGTTATCATCATTTTCGTCCTCATCTTCTCCTCCAACACTATCGTTTTCATTTGTAGAAGATATATTTTTCATTGGTAAGAGATTTGAGGTAACTGTATTTTCATTAATATTTGATTTTTTTCGTAATTGTTTTTCTGTTTGAACTGGTATATTTGTCTTTTTATAACAACTGATCATTGTACTCGGTTGTACTATAGCTATGTTTGTTGGCGTTGTTGTGATCGATGTGATATCATTTGTATTTACAACTAAATTATTTAGTGAATAATTTAATATGGCAAATATTAATGGAATTAAAATAGAAAAATAGACGAGATAAAAACGAAGAGCTATTGGATAAATTGTAGCCAAAACATTACACGATAAAACAAGTAAAAATTTTAAAAAGGATGATGAACACCAAGATGAACAAGACGGAGTAGATAATGATGATGTAGAAGATGATGGAGAAGATGGTACCCATTGTTGATCTGATATTGGAATTGATGCATTATTATTAGCTATAATGCCTAAATTTGATATTATTGAACTTGAATAACGTATCGATGGTGGTGTATCATAATATGAAAATGTTCGAATTTGATGACAACAACAAAAACAATTATATCCATCATTTGATTTTTTTGATATTTTCATAGATATAGATTTTTTTCTACTTGTATGACGTGATGAAAAATGATAAAAACAATTTTGAAAAATATATATTAGATAATCACTAAATAATTTGAGCAATGCTATCATAGTTAACAATAAACTAATTATAAATGGTACCAAATAGAACAATATACTTTGTATTAAACGACTTTCATCAAACCATTCTTCGGCAACAGTTAATTTAGTTCCCGGACAATAGACAGGTTTAGGATTTTTTTCATTTGAATCAATTGAATATAAAAGGGGAATTGTTGCCGTAAAACTAATACCCCATACACATATTACAAAACAAAAACAAAAACGACGTAAAAATTTCATTGAGCACATAAATAGACTATGCATAGTCGTACGTGAACTTTTATCATTATAAGAAGAATCTGTTGGTGATCCGGATTTTAAATATGATGATGATAATGTTGTTGTTGTCGTTGTTTTTTGATTATTTTGATTTGATGATGATGATAATAAACAAATGAGAAAGTTTAACTGCATAGCAATTATTGTATAAGCTAAATGATAAATATTTAAGGATTATTTATTAAAATATTCTAATTATTAACAATATACATACCTAAAACAACTGAACAAGATGTTTGTAGATAATAAATGGCTCGACAATTTGATTCTGTTAATGTTTTTGAACGTAATATTTGTATTAGATAATAAATATATAACGAATTAGCTATTGAACTTGATAATGCGGCACTTGAAAAATAAAAATTAATTATACTTCTATATGACGATAATGATGTTAAAATAGGTATAAAAACATTTAATAATACTAATAATGATGTAGCAAATAATTCTATTTTGTACCATGTAGATAAATTATATAAAAAAAATGACATGTTAACAACATATAAGAATATTTGCCTTTACATAGTTGAATTTAATAGACATTTTATGTATGAATATTAATTTAAAAAAATTGAGCAATAATCGAATTTATACGCCAATCTATTGTTACATTTCTAAATAATAATGAAAAAAATTTTAAATCTATTTCATTAGAATCAAATAGAAATATTTGAATATAAATTTTTTGACGAGGTTGTATACTCTAGTAAGAAACCTATACATTTTCTGATAGGATCCTTGGAAAATTCTGATAAGATCCTAGTAGAAAACAGATGACAAGTGTATACACTCTAAAAAAAAGTTGTAGATTAATAAAGTATCAAAAAGAGTTTATTAAGACCAATAAACCCTTTAGAAAACTAAAAAGCGTTCATGACAGATGCAAAATGAAAAACGGGCGGTTTTTTATTAAAAATAAAAAAACCTTTTCAGTTTTTTGTCGAGTCTAAAAAGCTAGCTAAAAAACTAAGAGTTTTTTAGTTAGTTTGCTAGTAGTTTAAAAAAAAGAGCTAAAAAGCTCTTAGTTTTTTAGGTAGTATTTTTGCATGTTTTTTGGTTTTTTGGATATAAAAAACGGAAAAGCGTTTTTTAAAAGGTTTATTGGTATTAGTAAACTCTTTTTGATACTTTATTAATCTACGACTTTTTTTTAGAGTGTAAGATTTTATCTTTACACTACAGTAGAAAGAAATCGTTGTCAATGCTGGTCATAAGGATAAGCGTTTAGTTAAATTAATGTAATTAACGTTGATATTGATGCTCAATGGAATTTCTTATCTTGACCTTTGATAATCTACTTTTCCATTTAGTTCCATCAAGTCATTCGTCTTATTTTCAGAATCTAATCCACTACTGTATCGAATTTAACTATGTCATTCAATAAAGTAAAAGATTATTTCGTCTCCCACACAAAATCATTGTTTAATTGAGAGTTAATGAGGACACTTTTCCTTTATTATGACAATCGACTAAAGATGTTTAGACTATCAATTGAGAAATAGAATAGCAAAGGATGAAGTATTTTGTGTGTGTTGTCATTTGTTTTTTTTATTATTGAGACAAAAATTGATATATTTTGTTTTATTCGTCATTGTCTCACAATGAACAATAGATATTTTTTTTTAATTTTAAATAACCACATTGGTGATCAAACAGAATTTTAAATGTTTTAGGAGGATAATGGATAATATTCTTTGCTGTCGTTAAAGTATTGAAACACAATTAGATTTGTAGATTTCGTACAATAACACTATGAAGCATGTTTGTTTAAGGATATTGCTTCTCTCTTCTCCTCTTTTTTTCACTTTGTTGACACATATGCGGGGAAAGTCTAATGAACCAAAAACTTTTCTCTAAAAATAGAACATCAAAAACACGGATTTTTCAAAAACAGTCTCAATATCGTTGACCGGACCAGATCGGAACCAGCTGGTACCGGTTACAATTATGGCATTTACAGTGTCTATGGTAAATTCTTGAAGCGATTCGATGAAGTTTTCGAGGGCTCGCAATGTACACTACTGAAATTATCAATGTTTTGAGCCTTACCGATAACATTGGGCGAGTCATTTTTCTTAAAAGAAATAGTGTCTATAGCGTAAAAAAACTGTATGAAAATATTACTGTTACGCGGCTTGGTAACTGAGATGTTTCTGCGTTTGACAAAATCCGACTCATTTCATCATTCTTCGAGTTGTCATGATTTTAACTCTTGATACAAAAAAAAGAATATAAACCACAAAAGAATAAAATCTATCATTATAAAATAAAACAAAACAAAAATAGTAGAGTGTAACAGTTTCAGTACTAATCAAACAAGTACTCACTCAAAATTTGAGAGTTTTAAATCCCTCCTTTCTTGTTTAAACTTCATTAGCAGCAAAACTTAAAATTAAACCATATCATTCAGCTTATTATTATTCATTAAACTTTTTATCAATTCTTTGAGTAACAATTACGCAAAAAACATTCTTTTAATCTTCTTATATACATAGCTATAGTCAATGACAGAACAAGACACTCACCCCAATACAGAACAGTATTGTCACAACAATATAATTTTGGAAGAATATTAGTTTATTCTATTTGCATATGGTATTATTTTTTCTTTTTTTTTTCAAAAATGTTCACGCTTGTTCTGATTTCGACATATAATGACAAAGAAAATCATTTGTTTAGAAATGAAGAGGAGCCGATTTTTAAATATTATACCGAGGTTATTACATGAATAGTTAAATGAAATGAAATGGAAAAAAAAGCCAACACTTCCTTGGATAAAGGACAAAAAAGAGAAACTCTCTCTTATACTACAACAGATATATTTAAAGGAATACACACACACACACACATTCATAAGAGTCCTGAGAATAACAAATAACGCACACAAAGACATGATTATATCGGCCGATTATTAGAAGCAACAAAAAAAATTTTCTTTGTTCCTCCTATTGGAAATTTGTCTATTATAGTTTGAATATATTTTTTTTTTTATGACATGATTGGAAAAAAAATATACATGCAGACATATAATATTGAAATAAGGAGACATCTTTTTATTTGTATTGTCAAGACGTGTTTCGTACATCTCTATAAAAAAAGATTGTTCTCAAATTATATGGTGCAGTGCTTCTCAGAGAAAGGAAGCAAGCAGTTAATGTCAAGTATTGATTATGAGACAGAGACTAACATATTGAGTAACTAAACGTAGATCCTCAGATCGTAGGGTCAGACGAAAGCATCTTATTTTTATAGGACATCGATGTCAAAAATTCAAAACAGTTATTTTGTCCATCGACTTGAGAGGTGCTATGTTTGTGCTAGACGAATATATTTCATTAGCAGAAATACACGTTTGTCTGTCAAAGCAATGATTATAAACATAAGCGTAATTACACACAATTATACAAAAATAGATACGAGCCAATATTTGTAGGGATCATCAAAGATGGAAAGTAAAATATTGTCAAAACTTTTCTTCTTTCGTGATCCTGAAGAGTAAAGACTGGAAGTTGGACATTGTCAGGCGCTATCCACAATGTTGAGGGGTGTCAAAAATTAATTTTTGTGTAGCCAGCTTTCTTCAGCTTACGAGAGAACCTTCTGAAGTACTAAAAACCGTTTTGAATGGAACTATTTTTAAAACGTAGACCCTCATGGGCTATGAAGAACCCCAACTTGATTCGGGCGCAATCACTTTTGTTGCTGAGATATCGAATTTTTACTCAAATTTTCCTCATGGGACCTGGATTTCAAGCAAAAACGGAGTTTTGAATTTCATGTTGTAACGTATCACATATTGTAGTCCAGGTCAACTGTAGTCCGATGACAAAAGACCGAACTGAAAACCTCTTTCCACAGTGGTGAAAGAACTTTTTCCATATGGGTATCAAAGGTAAAACACGGAGCAAGTTTTGAAAAAGTTTTTTCACCGCTGCGGAAAGAGGTTTTCAGTTCGGTCTTTTGTCATCGGGCTACAGTTGACCTGGACTACAATATGTGATACGTTACAACATGAAATTCAAAACTCCGTTTTTGCTTGAAATCCAGGTCATCATTTTTTTTTCAATTCATCATTTTTTGGCAAGGTTTACTTTCCATCCTCATGCTCTCCACCTTTATACTTTAATAGAAGATTCTTCGTCAATATTTCAAGTAGAAAGATAAGTTTAATTATCGCTAACAACTAGGAGTTGTTGAAATATAGATAATACAAAGAAAAGAAAGAGAAAATGTTGAAGAATCATTTCCATCTTTTATTTTGTCTTATTTGATCATTA